CGATTTTGGTTCAAATCCAATTTTCTTCATGTCAGATTAGCTTCATGATGAAAGAAGTTAATATGTTGAAGACCACATCAAGACCTCCAGCCAGGATGATTCAGAAGCTTAAGTGAGCAATGGGATAATTAGATGGGATTCAAAATAGATCAATAACCAAACCAAACGATTTTGCCGTGCGACAATTTTAAAAAGAGCCCTGCAAGGACCGCGCTAGGCAAGACCAGCGGCGACATGAGCGGCAAAGTTCAACCTCATTACAGACCCTAGTCAATTTCGATGAGGACCGCTTGCGCAAGTGCATCCAGACGCTGTTAGCAGGAAACTGTAGCAAACATCTGGGAGCAGCCTACGCTCCATGAGCAGAGTCAACCCTGCGTTGCGCAGTTCGCAACGGCACGTTGAGAGATCCTCAACGCACGCTGTATGGGCGGAGACACAGACGGCTCGAGCATGCGAGTGTGAATGTTCGCGCGAGAGAACGTGTCTAATCGGGCGAAACTGCGCAACGTGGCCGTTGAGAACTGCGCAACGCAGGGTTGACTCTGCCATGAGTCGACACCAGAGTGGAAAGGACTGTAGCAGAATGAAGCTCCGATGAAACAGCATGCATGGACTGACCATGACCGAGAAGCACGCCTGACCATCTGCAGAAGTTTCATTCTGCAACCGTATAGACAAGACATTCCCTGGTTGGTCACCAGCAGGGTGAATATCGCTTGAGGATTCCTCAACGGCACGTCGAGGATTCTCTGCCCGATCAGACACGATCTCTCGCGCGGACATTCACACTCGCCATGCGCGTGCCGTCTGTGCTCTCCGCGCGGATGTTCACTCTCGGCACTACTCTCGCATGGTAGAGAGCTATGGTCGAGGAAATTCCTCGACCGTTATTCACCCTGGTCCAAGGAGGCAGGGTCCCTATCGTTGTTACTTTTGAAAAATTTTTACGACCCCCCTCCCCCAAGGTGGATTTGATACGACCCCCTTTTCCACACCTCGACCACCATCATCCTCTCTATAGTATTTAATTCTGATACCACTCAACCCACCAAACTCCGCCCACTTTTTCCTCCAAAAATGCCGTCGAGCGGGGGTATATAGCTACTCTGAAACAGTAAAAATTCCCTATATCTCCGCCATTTTACTCCTACTTTTACCGGCTTTTACCTATATTTACCTATATTCCCACCACTTCATTTTCTAGGGGGGGGGGGGAACTCACCCAGCCTACCTACCCATAAAAACTTCAGTTTCACCTCAAACTCACATGTGATTTCAAGCGACTGAAACGGGTACGACCCCCCCCCTCCTACAAACTCAACCAGGTACGACCCCCCGTTGTTACTAGTAACAACGTAGGGTTGACCCTGGTCATGAGTCCCCTACGATAACAACACGCGGCTCGCCCGGTGGCTACCTCGCAGCCTGGACGCAGCACATCAACCAAAACCCGAGCTGTTTCATCAGAGGATGTGACCCCGTTTTGTTGGATTCGCTGGGTATCCCGTTTTGAGAACCATTTCACTTTATGCAGACAAGCATTGCGAAGGTAACCATGGAATAGCTTCCAAAGTTGGCCGTTGGAAAAGTCTCAAAATCTCCTTTATCCGGAGGACCGCCCGAAATCACATTGCAAAGATAACTCGCCACGTTTCGAGGGAAACTGGCTGGACCACGACACCACATCTATCGTATAGCCCTTACGTTGCTCCATCGTACTATTCAGCCCCCTGAAACAGCAGCTATGAGAGGAAAACGTCTCTTCGAGCTTTTCATTTCGGAGCTTCTCTCGTTCTGGGAGGAATGCATCCATTCGTTCCCTAGCAAGTGGATGCATATCAGTGATTATGATGGTGGTTATGTTTTTGATCAATTGTTCTTTAGGAAAGATAAAACTTGAAAAAATCAAAGTGTTGAAATTCGGCCAGAAATTATGGGTCAACCCAATATATTGACGAAGAACTTTGGGAGGAGTCAATTCTGGAGTCTGCCCAAGGATAGGTGGAGATACGTTGATTGAGGCCCTACTTACCAGTCATTCATGCCTGTCATCCTGTCCACCACCAACACTACACTTTTGGCGCAGTTTTAGGCCCAACTCGCCTACTACTTGTCGCATATATGTACATACAGGGGGCCAAAAAAAGTCACTTTGCCCATGGCGCATATCATCGAACTTTTCGTCGCAAAGGATGCCGCTGTTATTGGGAGTTATACGGCGAAATATTCCTTAGATGTCCCCCATAAGCAGAATCAGGCCCACCTTCGCTGCCTTCACCGTCTCCAGAATATGACGTCATCTGTCATCACCGTCGAGCTCAAGGAGGCCTACAATCGCTCCATTCTGAAGCTGCTACATAATTTCTTCAATCGGATAACTGGTGAATGGCTTCTTAGAGGACACTAGCTCTGACTATGCAAATGGCTTTTGACCAGCGTTTCAGAGACGTCGTAATCGTCTATGGTTTCTCGACGACCTCGTTGAGCTCGTACCGTGAACCATGTTTCCGTGGGAAAATCTTCTGATGTCGTCGGTGTAGAAGGCTGTATGTAATTTTTTGATAGAATAGAATGTGCTCTTCAATATGCAATTGAGCTCATTCGGTTTGGTTTGGCAAAGTGTAATTAATTCTGTTTTGAATGTGAAGAGTGACTCTTTTTTGACCCCCCCTATACTATACATTTTGTGAAAGTTCATAAGAAAAGTTCATGTAAGCCATACCTCATGCGAGCAGCCTTATATCAGTGGGTGGGTAATACTGAGGCAGCTCGCGGCAAATTGGTGGACCTCGTGTTACCCTGCAGAATTGCTGAGCTTCGCTCGATGTTTTTGCAATGTCAGTCTTGGTATTTCTTTATGGGAACGCACAATTATCCCAGTTCAATACTCTGTTGATCGGATATCTTTCTCTAGTCCAACTTTGCATTCTATTGTTTGGTTACAAATTTCCACTAATGCCTACTTTACTTTCTTATGTGTACTTACTATTATATTTACAGCTAGCCTTCATGCTAATTCCCTAATGCGATAGGAATTTTCTTTTCCTTTGTTGAATCAAGGAAATTCTGACTTTTCTAGATCTCCACCACCGATTCCCGATTCTCCACCGCCGAAAATTCCATCTTCATTAAAAGAGAGAAGTTTCAAGTAATGCACAATGAGATCTTATTATACATGTTGTTGCTTTCAGATAGCATCATAGCAGGGTCAACCGTCACGTTCGAACATTTTCGGGATTTTTGCGACCCCCTAGCTCTCGAGGGGGTCCAGTTGCGACCCCCTGTTTTTGTTAATAAGAGTGCTAGACATGAATCCGTTGCGCCAGAAAGCGTCTGCGCGTCGTCTGCGTTGCGGCGTCAGCCTTGGAGCGCGGCAGGTATCACCCGGGCGCTGGAAGAACGGGACGCGGCGAAGAAAAAATTTTAGAGGGGAATAACTTTCTTGGGACGTACTTTTTTGACTTGTTGAGGTAGATTGTGCCTGAGGTGCGCTTTCAGAAAACTACAAGGATTGCCTAACTCTCCGGAAAGTACTTCTGTTAGAAGTGGAAAACCCAAAATTCTAAGAAGGCGCACCTTCAACTTTGAAGGCCCATAAAATCTTTCGTATGCGACATTTTGGAAATCTGTAAAAAGTTTCAGAAACTTCAAATATTTCTCTAACAAAACAGTATAAAAAGTTTAGTGATTGTCCCCTTTTTCAAAAAATTGTCCCGTTCGAACATTTTTCGTGCAAAAGCGAGTTTTTGGGCTTTCAGCGACCATAACTCACTTCATTTTCATTTCTGTGATGCACTTTTTTCATGGGGTGAAAGTACAGGATTTGCTCTTTCTAACAAGCACCAAACCGTTTTTCAAAGTTCATTTTCGAGAAAATCACACGTTCGAACATTTTTTCCCATAGGTTTTTGAGCAGCACATGCGAGTTTTTGAGCTTTCAGCAATGAATAACTTCCTTCAAAGAGCTTGTTGGGGAGGGATAAAGACATTTTTGAAGACTACGAGATTTCCGCTTCCTTACATGTTTCACAGTTGTTGGAAGAAGCGTCCCCAAAAAAAGGTCCCGAAGAACTTTGTTTTCAGCCCCGAGAAGTCAAACCTTTCATAGGGATGCATTCAACTGTTCTTTATTCCTTAAGAAAACACCGTAATTTGCCTAAAACTGTCTCTCTGTGCATAATAAATCGAATCTAATGCGGTCTGCACAAGCAAGTCTTGCCCTCGGATACGCCACGCACGCGCCTGTGGCTGGCAGTCCTCGAAATTGCGACCCCCTTCCGACCAAAATGCGACCCCTTCGTTCGAACAGTTCGAACGGATTCATACAAGTCTCATCGGTGCTGCCCTCCGCAGCGCTAACGCTCCCCACTGACGGCTAGAGACCTTCGGCGAGTGATTACCTGTAGTTGGACGTGCCGCTTCCATAGCGCCGCTGGGACGGCCATGCTAGATCACCGGGGCGTGCTTCGACACGAAATGTGTCCGGTAGCACCCTCAAGGGGTCCGCAATTTTCTCCTTCTTCGACCTTTAACCTTATCCTGGAATTCTCCTTTAACGTGCACGCTACTTGACAAACCGTGTTTTAGTCCTCCGATATATTTTTTTAGAAATTTATCATATATCAGTAAATCTAAATTGGAAACCCTGCCTCATTCTTTTCAGATCTCCACCACCACCTCTCGAACCTCCACCTTCAAAGCGCTCACCTCTGCTTGAGGAAAGATCAGCACAGTAGGATGATTTACTCACGTTTAAAACTCAAACAAGCTTGTACTCTGGCACACGGTTACCAAGTTTTTTTTTATAGTTCTCCTCCAACAAACCCTTCACCTCGGCAGACAAGGCAATTCCCTTCTCCACCTACAGAACCAAAGAAACAAGCGCATCGAACTCCAACCATCCACGAACCAATCCCAAGCTTTCCGACAGAAACAAGTCCACCTAAAAGGGAAGTTTTCCTCGTGTTCTGATGGAGAAACAGCGTGATTGTTATTTTTCCGAAAAGTTAACACATTACTGGCAGTGGCAACGGAAAACCCAATTTAAAAACCACTGATTGGTGATTATAAGACATTTTTTCAATAATCTCGCGCGATAGTTTCTGAAGAGTGGGTTCTCCTTCAGCCACTGAATGCATGTTAGCTAAAGTACACGCTAATTACGCCTAAGTCTCACCACAGTTTGTTGCAACTTTCCGATTTCAGTCCACTGAAGGTGAGAAGTCGAGCTGCAAATCGTGTTCCATCTTCCTCACAGGCTTCATCAGGCACGGGTCCAACGTGAGTTATCTCATTGATGTTCTTCATGAACATTTCGTTTCGTTGAAATTGTAACTCCCCTAGTGTGGAAAGTTTACAAATCATTCCGAAACAAAATGAAGACACTTCGTGGTACGTAAACTTTCTTTGCATCATGATCGCCCTCCTTGATTTCCACAAAGCCAGTAAAACTGCTCTCACATCATAGTTAATGAAAGGGCAATGTTTCAGATTGTACATGTTCCTTTTGGTTGCAGTTCGCCAGGCGGAAGTTAATACAAAACTTTGTTCTAGATCACAAAAATATTGGGTTATATGCAAAATTGTTAACCCCACATGTTAATCTAACCCACACCTCTTGGAGCACAATGCAGTTGCCCGGAAAGCCAGGAGTGCGATCCCCGTATGGGTTGAGGAGGTTGGCCGAAGAGTCTATTGCATTTAGGGGCCATCACGATGCAGCTTTTTGGCGAACTATGTGAACTTGAACATTCCAGCTTTTCACGCATGTCAAGTGACTGCCCTCACCCCCCACCCCCTAGACTGGCTACACTCCCCCTGGCTCGGAGTTACCTAGCTTTCTGGAAAAACTGCATCATGATGCCCCCCCCCCTAACTGGAAAGAGCCACAAATGACGAGATCTAGTACAATGCATCGGTAAGAACACCTACATGTCTATAAATCCCATTTGCAGTCGAAGAGTTGTGCAATTCGGAGCAAGAAAAAGTCAGAACAAAAAAACCGTGCGGGCCAGGGCTTATGACCGGGAGCTCTACCTCATTCATTGACCCGACCCCCTGCCCGATTTAGAGGAGACGTGCCTGTTCGGACTAGTTTGTCCGATACCTGCCGTAGCACCGTCATCAAGTGCGACCTCGCCTTCCTAATTTGTTCTGCTATCCCCCCCCCCGCAAATAGCCTGCACTGACCCTTGCAAATGATCATTACCTATCCTTGCCTAAGCCAAATACGAAATTGAAGCGCTTCAATTGCGTCTTTCTTATGGAATCGACCTCATACAGCGCGGCGGTCCCGCAACGACCGCTAGTCGAGCAAGCGCTCTGCACAGCTGCTTGGAGGCGGCCCCACCACGGATCGGTGGATCCGCCCCTCTTGAAGGATTTCGACTGCTTCCAACGCCTTTCAGAGGTAAGTTTGAAGTTTGTGACATTTCCCATGAACTCCAATCAGGCTGAGGCATGTTTCCACCACTTGAAAACCAAATGGTTGAAACCCTGCCTGGACTGTTGCTTTAATGAATGACCGTGGCCGAATTTTGGACAAATATTTCACATTATGCCTTGTAACGAAAGCATTCTCCCTTTGAATTGTGGGATTGTCGGCCTGCGCAATTCTGAATTCTTCGACCAAACCGAGTGTCATTGACTGATTCATGGATTGTATGACACAAATATTTGAACTATCGGAGAGTTTGACCACTGCCCTATCTATTACGTGGCGAACGACTCAGACCCCGTCTAATCATAGATGAGCATCGAGATCAATAAAAATGAAATATAATCATAGAAACAAACAATACTAGGTAAATGAAGAATCACAGACAATATAGAACTTTCGAAGGCAGATGCGTGGCCGCACGAGCGCTACATCATATAACTCAGTAACACAACAAGTTCCGGCCGGTTTTTGCCCTCTCGCTCCGAGACATCCATAATCTGACTAAGCACAAGCTAAAGAGAGGCTGGAACGATTGGCGGTCCTAGCACTAAGTCACTCGTACTGCCCAACGAGCTGTCGAGACGAACAAAAAAACTCACCATGAAAGGGTCGCTAGAAAAGGGAGCTGAGCGGCCTTCAGCAGTGGCGTCAGTTGCGCAGCTTCCCCCCCACCGCTCTCCCACGAGCAGGGTCGGTCCTATCGTTGCTACTTTTCAAAAAGTTTTTACGACCCCCCCCCCTCCCTCATAAAATGTTTCATACGACCCCCTCCTTCAACAATTTTTACCCAAAAAATTACCGTCGAGCGGGGGGGGGTATATACCTACCGTAAAACCGCAAAAATTCCCTACACTTTTCCCTACAACTTCCACTTTATTCAACTACTCCTTTTCTACGGCTTTGGAATGGGCATATACGCGCGCGAACGCAAATTTTCTCCCCGGCGTCATCTCCTCATCCGAAAGCTAGTACGACCCCGCCTCTACAAACTCCATCAATATACCCCCCTCACCTCCGTGCTACTGTAGCAAACATAGGTTCACCTTGCCACCACGCCCACTTCGAAGCCGTTCAGCTCCCTTTCTAGCGGCTTTCCAAGGTGAGTTTTTTGTTCAGTCACACTTCTTATGTTCTTGACTAGGGCTAGCGCATCGTTCCACATCCATTAGTGTTGAAGGTAAAAACCCTGCTGGGACTGTTGTTTTAAGTACTCTATGAATGAGAGACACATTCAAAGTTATTCTTGTGAACCAAACCGGGCTTCAATTTCTGTATTGTGCTACCGAAGTACCCTTCATGGAAAATCAATACGTTGCAATCGACGCAGATTCCGAAATGGTCTAAACATTTAGTGATAAACAGAAGTTTATGGAGCCACCTCACACATGGAAAAGGCAGACGGACGAGTCCTTGACACCTGGTTTCCGGACGCTTCCTAGAGGAGCCGTTTCGATGCGAAATCCTCACGGACGAATGGGTGGAGTGAGTTCTTGAGTAATATTATTTCACTGATATGTCAGTGATTTATGCAAAGACTAGAGTTTGAGAGTCTGAATAATCAAATCACGTAGTTTGAACGATCTTAGGTAGTGCGCGCCGGAGGAGGAGGTGGCACGACTCCAACTGGTTGGAAGCCGTGGTCGTCTAATTCCACACCATCTCAAAGACAGCAGTTCCTTAGCGATGACTGAGAAGTCACCTTGAAAGAACACACATGTCACGTACATTTCTGCAGATATTTTTTGTGTAGTACGTAGTCGGACTTTAATCCCGTTGGAATGAGGTCAGTATGAGTCCTTACTTTTATCAAGTTCTGAGGAAAAAAATAAATATTAGATTTTTGACAAACGATGCACTGATATTTCCAAAGTTGTGATTAGCAATTGATGCAACTAATGAGAAAATTTTTTCCCTTTAGAAGAGAAGTAAATTAGAATGAGCACAGCAGGACTGCACAACTAACTTACTCTGAGTGGCTTTCTTAAGTCCCAGCGTGCTGCTGGGTTTTAACGAGCTCGAAAATATCACGCATCATAAGGAAAGGAGTAGGTCAAGCACACGTAAGCTAAATTTACCGAGGAGTCGTATTTGTGCAATGGAGGGGGGGGGGAAGGTTGCAAGCACAGGGAGCAGCGGGAGGCTTTACAAGGCGTATCGAAGGCGTATCATACATTTGAATGGGACATGTTCTCTTGAAGAACTAATACTTTCAGGTAAAAGTTATGTGCACGAAATGCAATGAATTTGATAGGTTGAGTCCTACACGCCCAATAGAGAATTCAGACAAACAAATATTTCAGTACAAGCTGAATTGTTAGGGAATACTAAGATCAGAAATTTCACTTTTGATTCCTCATATAATACGTTTACTTGTCTTGGGGTGGCGTTCTGCTTATCGCCATCCGCCGCTGACTTTTGACTGTAGTCGACTGGCTTGGTAATTTTCTTGGTGCACTAATCAAAGGCTTAAAGGCAAGATTCAGGATTGAATTATGAGTAATTCCACTCAAATGTGAAAGTAGGGGTAGGTAGTGGACCGCCAGTGCAGAAAAGAGAAAAAAAATCGTGAAATGCACAGGAAATACGAGCCTTTTGCTCTACGCTGCGGAGAAGTTCAAAAGGCCGGCAGGGAGATGAGAGATAATGTGAGCGCGGAGAGCGCTAGAGAAGTCTAAGTAGAGAGAGCATAGCAGATCAACATTCCGACGCAGACAAGATATCGAGCGGTGGGCGGAGCGTGTCGCAGCAGGTGGAGCGTGTCAAAGTTCTTAGCGCCTAGCGTCTAAATAACGGTTTTCGAAGTAGGGAAGTGACGCGACCCCTACACTTGCGTGCCTAGCGCTTCTAGCCACCGTAAAGGCTCATTAAGTGGGTCTGAGCCCGAACTTTGCCTTTAACTCGAATAAGGCTTTCATATCAGTGGTCCAGTGGACAACTACATACATGTTTCAGCAAGAGCGAAAGCATGCAATAAATAAATAAGTGAGTAAATAAATAAATAAATAAATACAGAGGCTTTTCAGAAGAGGTCACTGCATATTAAGAAGCAGTGGTCGTGTAACTTTCCAGTGTTTTCACTGCTCTCCACAAATGCCGATTTGAAAGCTACAACCGCGATATTCGCTGAATAGTGCGAAAAAAATACATGCGAAAAAGCAAAGCAACTAATTCCTGAGTTGATTATTTGAGCAATTTCGGTACATTTTAGGGAGCCCTAAAGCCACCATTTTCTCCACTTGTCACCTGTCACCTGTATCCCGTTGATCATCGAATCGCTCGAGCGGGCGCCAGCAACGTCTCCATTCGTCCCTGTCGCATGCAAGAGTGGTCCAGTGGATCTGGCGTAAGCAAACCAGCCCTTTTGGCGCTTCGGCTGGGACCGTATGCTGAATGTTGGGGAGGGGATGGAGTCCCCGACGGTGGACGGACCACTTCAACTCGGTCCTTAGAACCGCCACAATTTGGTGCTTACCTCAGAACTAAGCCTTAAAGAGAGGACGGGTCCGTCCCTCTCCAAGGCTTAGTCCTGGGG